AAACCATTATGACCCACAAATACCAATTTTTAGACAAATCGGTGAAAAAATGTGGTAAAAAAAAACTAAAATACTAAATATCGGGAGGTACCTTTATATGGGGGCTATACCACAACGTGGACCTATACATGCAATGTTTTGCCACACGCTCAGGGACCCGCTATGACCTACAAATACCAATTTTAAGACAAATCCGTGAAAAAATGTGGCATAAATCATCAAAATACCGAATATCGGGAGGTACCGTTATATGGGGACTATACCAGAACGTGGACCGATATATCTCATTTTCAATACCAACCATCCTAGACACAATGCAAATAGCTCTGCTAAATTTTGGAGCTCTACGTCAAATAATGTGGGCTGTATCGTGATTTCAACAGACAGACAGACGGACAGACAGACAGACAGACAGACAGACAGACAGACAGACGGACATCGTTAAATCGACTTAGAATTTTATGCTGATTATGAATATATATACTTTATGGGGTCTAAAACGAATATTTATGGATGTTACAAACGGAATGACAAAGTTAATATACCCTCCTTTCCAAGATGGAGGGTATAAAAAAATCATGCCATATCAAACATTACGATTGTACATTTCAAGAGTCAAAATAAAAATTTTGAAACTTCACATTTTTACGCAATTTTTTTTTTAGATTTTATACTTTTGTTTTTTTTTTTTCAATAAGAATTGTCAATTCTGAAAAGCATTCTGGATCAATTCTTCACAAAATTCCCTATCAAAACAGAACAGTTCCGCGATTTGTTTTTCAGTTCCGCGATTTTTTTTTTTTTTTTTGAACCTTTCCTCAAAATTTTCGTTCATGAAAACGTTTCCACTGTAATTACAAATAACCAAAAAAAATTTGAGTCGAAACTACCCAGCAATTCTCACCTTTTTTAAATTTTTTACATATAGATGGCCAGTTTCAAATAGATATCTAGGGTTGGAGGGGAGTCAAGAGTACGTCATATACTAACTATAGAACAGATATCTTCATTATTTTGGCAATATTAGGATTTTAGGTAAATCGAAATAGTGGGCGTAAAAGTAGGCGTGGTCAATATTTTTTTTCTTTAAAAACCTAACTCGGGGTATGACGAACGCTTGTACAAAAAATTATGCAAATCGATCCAGCCGTTCTCAACTGATTCCATTACCAACGAACAACAATTGATTTTTATATGTATAGATTTCCACATTAAATATTCTTAATACATATCGCTTAAAAGAGAAATTGAAATTGTAAAAGAGAAATTAAAACTGAAGAAATGACTGAAATGCGAAATTTAGCTTTACTTTAATGTTTTATAAATACAGAATACTATTCATATTACCTAAAATAAAATAGGTAAAAATATGTTTTAAGTTAAACGGTTTTATGTTAAACATACATTGCAATGTTTAGGATAAATGTACTAAAAACAAAAAAATAATAAAATAGATACAGTCATGGGATTTGTAAACAAATGTATAGACTAGACTAAATTAAAACCGTAGGTCACGTCAATTGTCTACAATCGTTGACTAAAATGTTTGTTTTGTAATGTTGTAATAACTAGACCGTTGTTCAACCGACAACAGTGGCCGTGTAATAAGTAGGGCTGAAATGTGGAAACAAGCTAGCAAGCGGGTAGTACTTGTATCATATGTTTTGTCGATTAAAGACAAACTACGAGTAGGGAAAGGATTCCTCGCCAGCCAGCAACGACCAACGATAAAATTGTTGAAATATCTCTTTTATTTACATGGAGTGTATAACTATTGGAATTTCCATGATACAAAATCTTGACTTGGGTGGTGGATTCAGGCTGGATTAATCGATACCTAAATTACATATGCAATTTCTAAGTTTAAATCTTATTATTATTAGATATTAAGTGGCTGCGCACATCTTAAATATTGAGGATATATAGTGCACTGTATTCTTCTTGTCAAGCCCTTTCATTTCATACCCATATTGGTGGGATTGATAAAAAATTGGTATCAGCCATTTGGCAGCGGCGGTCATCTTAAATTTCAACTTTGCATAGTAAATTGTATTCTACTTGTTGATACCTTTCATTTGATACCTTTCATTTGAGAGGCCGCCATCTTGGATTTTACCTGTATATCGTACATTGTATTTACTGGTTAAGCTCTTTCATACCCACAACGGAACTTTAGACCCCACAAAGTATATATCTTTTTGATCAACATAGAATTGTATGTCAATTTAGCGATGTCAGTCCGTCTCTCCGTCTGTGGAAGTCACTCTAGCTTCCGAACGAAATGAAGTGGTTTGATAAAATGTTACTCAAATGTATATTATGTCTGCAGAACTCTTGGTATAGAAAATGGGCCATGTAGGTCCACGTTTTGGTTTACCCCCCCCCCCCATATAAACGTACCTCCCCATATTCGGTATTTTGATGATTTTAGCGACATTATTCACCAGAATTGTTTCAAATTTCGCATTTAAAGTTCGTAATGGATACTACAGCCTAAGACAGAAAATTGTCTGTGCAGGTCCACGCCTTCGTATAGCCCTCATATAACGGTACCTCCCGATGTTCGATATTTGTATGATTTTAGCGACATTATTCACCGTAATTGTTTCAAATTTGGTATTTGAAGTTCGAAACGGATACTACATCCTATGACAGAAAATTGTCTGTGCAGGTCCACGCCTTCGTATAGCCCCCATGCAATAGTGCCTCCCTTTATTCGATATTTTGATAATGCAGGTACACGTTAAAGGACTGTAAATGTGACAATTTTCTCTATATATGCCATGGAGAGAAAACGCTCGTCATGTTGTGCCCTGTTTGATCAAACGCATAACAGTACGTGACATCCAACCAAATGCTCGATGTCTCGTCATGTCGGTCACACTCAAACCCATCGTCATAACATGTAATGACCAATAAAAGGGAATGTTGAATAGTGTGTCATACAAAAATGTTCTGTCAAAAAAAAAAACAACAACAATTATGAAACAATTGCCAACGAGAAGACACACACATCATGTTTTTCCGATATGTGAAAAAATAAATTTTTTGTAATAAGAGAAAGAATTTCTTGGCGATTACTAAAATATTAAAGGTAATTCTAATTGGTCCACACAAAATTTTCACATTTCGTGGTTATTGACGAAACAATCTAATATGTTAATGCTTATTAAAAAACAATAATCCCCTGAAAATTTTTCTTATTTTGATTATAATTTCATAAATGTTTGCCTCCGGTATTGAGGTGTAAATGAGAATGAGTGCTACTGTAATTCACGTAACAACACTATATACTTCCATTGTTAAATTCTGTGCATATTCTGTTATTGAATGAGAGTCAAATCTCTGCCCACAAACTTTAATTTTAAAAGAACACTATATGTAGATAGAAAATAGGCAAACAATATTTAGCTCTTTTTTATGACCAACATTTTATGATAATCACCAATAAATTGGGATTGTTCAGTATATATTTCATTTTTTCTATTCATTTGTTGATGTCTATGCACATTGAACTCAATTTTATATTTACGCGGTGTTTGTTACTTCAAAATTACAGCGCACACAAAAACACACCCTCACCGTCGAAAGTATCGTTGACACCCTGCATTTATGGAAAACACCATGCAAATATTCGAGTCAGCCATGCCACGATCGAACCTTAGACAATGGCACACATGAATGAAAATGGGGGATGTTGTTAATTGTCATTGCCTATCAAATACATAGTGCATGATTGAGTAGACAAAGTCAGTGTGTCGAAAAAAGCATTATTCATACAATTTGTCTTGTGCAGGCATTGAGTACACGTCGCCGTATGGACCCTAATATAATGGCTACATTCGGTATTTTTAAGATTTTTAACAGAATTAATTTTTATTGTATTAACGGATTTTATTTTTTTTTTTTTTTGAAAATTGCCAAATTAGTTCCAAATGGTGGAGGGTATTCAAAGTTCGGCCCGGCCGAACTTACAGTTTTTTTAGTTGTTTTACCTAGTTCCGCTACACTCTCCCAATTTAATTGAAATTGGATACACACAGCGTGTTTGGAGCATCAAATACACAAAAACGTAAAACATATATACATATGTGAGCTATATCTAACTTTGAACTGATTTTAATACATTTTCGGAAAATTTCCGTCACACGTTCCAAATTTCATTAAAATAGGAGGTACATAGCGTGGTTGGTGCATCAAATATCTGAAATCAACCAAAAAAATATAAGGGAGCTATATCCAACTCTGAACCGTCTTTAATATATTTGGTTACTCTATATCCAAATCTGAACCGATTTCAATATAATTTTGTACATTTTTTCTTGTACCAAACTCTGTCACACATTCCAAATCTGTATCTAAAGAGTGATTTTTTTGAGGTTAGGATTTTCATGCATTAGTATTTGACAGATCACGTGGGATTTCAGACATGGTGTCAAAGAGAAAGATGCTCAGTATGCTTTGACATTTCATCATGAATAGCTATTATAAAGAGTATATATGTATTGTTAATAGATGTGCTCTATAAATGGAAAATTGGATCAGGGTTTTTAAAACACATGTTTTCATAGGTATTTCTGAATACCTAATTTATTTTTAATGTATATTTAATTGTATATATATATATATATATATATATATATATATATATATATATATATATATAGTCCTTAATTGCTTATTTATTATAGCATATTTATACTTACCAGGTTGTATGGATTCCAGGAAGAAATAAACAAACTTTTCCGAGTTTGTTTGATATTTAAAATATTTATTAATAGAATCATACTCATTATCAAGTTATTGGTCTTTAAGGTTTATATATCTTGGAGTAAAAATTGAAATGACAAACTTAATATAGTCTCCATATTTAATGTAATATATAACCTCCATACGTCGTCAAATTAATTTACTTATATTAATAACATAAATATTTATATGCAATAACCTCGTATTGAAGTAATTTCACGTTATTGTGTGCAGATTTAAAATAAAAGAAGCAAATGTTTTTTTATATTGTGTCTTAATTTTGTACAATTATTATTTGTAAACGGAAGCTTATCCTGAGTCTCTTTTTTAATGTTTTATAAAAACATTTAAATATCGCCGTTGATTGATCTACACACATAATTTGGTGGTTTGGAGATTTATTTTAATCAATATGTTTCATCTTAAACCGACATGCTGTCACAGGGCTGTGTCACCAACCCTGTGAAAACCCTATTGTCATGCGGAATTTGAACCTTTAATTAACAGTGGTGTTTGAATTGCTATTGTATCATCTGAGATATTCGTTGCATGTAAAGTCAACAATTTTGAATGACTCACTTCATCAGGAACACTTACTCGCATAGATTCTTTAGCGGGAACATTTTCATATTTCAATGAGTGAAACAACGGTGATATAAGAGATGAGGGAGCAGGACTAATAGCTGATGAAGTAAATGGTTCAGATAAAAATCTAGGTGCGAAATTGTTTGTTGTCAGAAGGATTTGTTGGTTTAATTCACTAGGATTTATAGATGTCGTTGTCGGTAGTAAACAATTATAATGTGTCCACGGATGATGTCCTCTTGGCAGTGTACATTGGGAAATGGAATTTTCATATAAAATTGAATGCTGAAAAATAATTAAGATGTAAAAAATAAGAAAAACCAGTAAAAAAGGCCAAAATTCAGTCAACTATAGGATAACCTATACCATTATGTGATAATTTATATGTAGTAGACCTGATAAATATATACATATTTGGGAGCAATATGCAAATCTGAATCGATTTCGACAAAATTTGACAGATGTTTCTATTTTTCAGATTAACAACTTTTTGGTATTTTAAACATTTGTAAATGGAAGCAAACAACGTTTAGATCTTTATAGACAGACATTGACTAACAACCGTGTACATCAGAGATTAGCATTGTGGCCATTTTTTTTTTTTTTTTGTGGTATAAATATATCCTCGTGCACCTAAAGCCACTAACAATTTTCAGCTTCAATTTTGTGTTCCATTTACAAAAACAAAGAGTTTACATATTAAGATATATTCGAAGATTTTAATTATATGCAAGATGCGCTGTAAATAAACCTGTACAGGGTGAAAAAAAAACTGCAACAAAGTCAAACGCCATAATGCTTACATTTTTTTTTTTTAATTTTATTGAATGAAATAAAAAAATATCGGAAATAGCATCAAATTTTAGAATAAGTTTAGATTTGTTCGAATTGGTCACCTTTGGCACGAATTATGACCATCAAACGGTCAATGAAACCGTTACACGCTGCCCGAATGTTGCTCTGCGGTATTTTGGAACATTCCCGGCGAAGTACTTGCTTGAGGTGATCCACATTTTTGTATTTTTAGTGTCAACATTGATTTCTTTATTGTGTACAAACTACTGTACAACAAATGTTTTCCCATCGGAGAAAACCAAATTCGGCAGTTTACCTCTTTCGGCCAAGCGAAGCAAAGCTTTTGTGTAAGTTCTTGCAATTTTAATGGCTTTACCCCGAGCTCATTTTTATACCCTCCACCATACTATGGAGGGTATATTAACTTTGTCATTCCGTTTGTAACTCCTCGAAATACTGATGTCAGACCCAACAAAGTATATATATTCTTGATCAGCGTAAAATTCTAAGTCAATTTAGCGATGTCCGTCTGTCTGTCCGTCTGTCTGTCTGTCTGTCTGTCCGTCTGTCTGTCTGTCTGTTGTAATCACGCTATCTTTCGAATAAAGTGAGATAGATGGCTAAAATTTTGCACACATGTTTATTTTTCCAGTAGGCAGGTAAAGTTCGTAAATGGGCCATGTAGGTCCACGTTTTCATATAGCTCCCATATAACGGTACCTCCGGATTTTCGGTATTTTGATGATTTTAGCGACGTTATTCACCGGAATTGATTCAAATTTGGTATTTTAAGTTCCAAATGGATACTACACCCTAAGATAGAAAATTATCTGTGCAAGTCTATGTCTTCGTATAGCCCCCATATAACGGTACCTCCCGATATTCGGTATTTTGATGATTTTAGCGACATTATTCACGGGAATTGTTTCAAATCTGGTATTTGAAGTTCCAAATGGATACTACACCCTAAGACAGAAAATTGTCTTTGCAGGTCCACGTCTTCGTATAGCCCCAATATAACGGTACCTCCCTATATTCGGTATTTTGATGATTTTAGCGACGTTATTCACCGGAATTGTTTCAAATTTGGTATTTGAAGTTCCAAATGGATACTACACCCTAAGATAGAAAATTGTCTGTGCAAGTCTATGTCTTCGTATAGCCCCCATATAACGGTACCTCCCGATATTCGGTATTTCGATTATTTTAGCGACATTATTCACGGGAATTGTTTCAAATCTGGTATTTGAAGTTCCAAATGGATACTACACCCTAAGACAGAAAATTGTCTTTGCAGGTCCACGTCCTCGTATAGCCCCAATATAACAGTACCTCCCTATATTCGGTATTTTGATGATTTTAGCGACATTATTCACTGGAATTGTTTCAAATTTGGTATTTTAAGTTCCAAATGGATTCTACACCCTAAGACTGAAAATTGTCTGTGCAGGTCCACGTCTTCGTATTGCCCCCATATAACGGCACCTCGCTATGTTCGGTATTTTGATGATTTTAGCGACATTATTAACCGGAATTGTTTAAAATTTGATATTTGAAGTTCGTTATGGGAACTACAGTCTGTGACAGAAAATTGTCGGTGCGGGTCCAGTTTCGAATTTGAATATGGTAATGGCTTATGACAAACAATGCATATGTATGTCCACGTCGTATAGACCCCAACATAACGGCTATATTCGGTATTTTTAAAATTTTAAAAGAATTTTTTAAGGATTTTATTTTTTGAAAATTTCCAAATTCGTTGTAAATGGTGGAGGGTATTAAAAGTTCGGCCCGGCCGAACTTACTGCTTTTTAACTTGTTCAATATTTGGATTGGAATATTGCGATATGTTCAGCTCACGAGTCATTTTTCGGCCACTGCGACGCGGGTTTCGATCAAGTCGCTTCTTTACTTTTCGAACCATTTCGGATGATGTTGCTGTTTCTTCCGTCCACTTCCTTGCTGTCGGGCTACGCTACCACTATCACGGTAACGAGCAAAGGTACGACACACAAAAGATTTATTCACATTAAAATGCTGGAGTGCTCTAACTATAGCCACTTGTGGATTTTCAGCTAAATATAAAGAAATCACACTATCACGCCTGAATTCCATCACGAATAACTTTTTTCTGGAAAATTCTCACAAAAAGGCTTTTGAACGATTGTAAACAATATAATGACCTGTCACTGGAATAATTTTAACAGGTGTCGGACAAGTGGCTTAGAAATGACAGCAGTTGCGGTTGCGTTTTTTTTTTTATCTCACCTGTGTATGAGAGTACTATACTATGTGGTCTTTAAGAATTTCTTATATGTTAAATCATTAAAAGAAAACAATATTTGGTGGTTTTTTATATCTCTTGTATTTTTTAATATTTGTTAGAATATACGAAAATTCTCAATACGCATACCACTATGCTGGTACAGGAATTGAAGTATTGCAAAATCCATTTTGTTCCATAGCATTGTCATTCTGAGCCACCAATCCTGATCAGTTCCCATTGTTTTTCTCATGGGATATTCTCCCCAGGAGTTATTTTAAAATAACTCCTATAACACCAAGTGACAAGACCCAAGTGTCAAGATCGTAAGTTCAGTGAAGAGGAACCCATAAAGTCTATGGTGGCAATAAGATTTAGAAAATTCTAAAAAATAAAAATAGGTAAAACACTTTTTAATTTAAACGGTTTCATGTTAAACATACATTGCAATGTTTTAAGTAAATGTACTAAAAACCAAAAAAAAAAAAAAAAAAAAATAAATAAAATATATGCAGTCGTGGGAATTATAAACATAGCATAGACTGGACTAAAATAAAACCGTGGGGCACGTCAATTGCCTACAAATTATCCACTTAATGTGCGATAGAAGAATCGTTTAATTCGTGTTAGGCAGTTGGCCGCAGACGGTGAGGAAATTACTTACTGTTTTCTCACACAAGGAGATGTTTTAACTAGTTTATCTATGGTAGTTTGTCTTTATTCGACAAAACATATGATAAAAGCACTACTCGCTCACCACTATAAAACCCTAAAACTCGCTTATAATGAAGCTTGCTAGTTGTTTCCACATTCTAGTTTTATTTTAGTCTAGTCTATGCATATGTTTATAATTGCCCCGACTGCATCTATTTTATTATGTTTCGGTTTTTAGTACATTTACCTTAAACATTGCAGTCTATGTTTAACATAAAACCGTTTAACTTAAAAAGTTTTTTACCTATTTGTATTTTCTAGTCTTTATTTTTTAACCTGTGTTATTTTTTTAACTGTATTTAGTGTTTTTGACACTAATGGTTCCCGTCGTTTCTATAATCGACTATATCTATCACCTTCACTTCCCTCACCTCGTTTTTCATTATAATTTTCTTTCGCTTTTTGAAACATTCAAAATTCAAATCTTATTACTACGCTACGCTATTTAGTGGCTGCGTCCATCTTAAATATTGATGTTGTGTAGTGCACTGTATTCTTGTCAAGCCCTTTTATTTGATACCCATATTGGTGGGATTGATAAAAAATTTTTATCAGTCATTTGGTAGCGACGACCATCTTAGATTTAAAATTTGCATAGTAAATTGTATTCTACTTGTTGACAACTTTCATTTGATACCCATTTTGATGTTATTGATAAAACCTAAGATATCCGCCATTTTGTAACGGCCGCCATCTTGGATTTATAATGATATTGAATAAATATAATTGTATTGTCACCAAAATCCAAAGTGTATACAAAATTTCAGATTCATTCATTAAATTCGTCATTAAATAAACAAACGAATCTTTTCGAGATAATATTCGGCATTCTGATGCCACGGCTGTTATAGTGGCCCACACCAACACCATGAGTTCTGGTGGCTCACCGAAGGTGCACATTTTCAGCTGACCTATTTGGCAAGTAAACACGACCATTTTGTTTGTTTACAAAATGTTGTACAACGAATGTTTTTTTAAATTTCAATTGCTTTACCCCGAGCTCATGTTCCAATATTTGCCAAATGGAATATTGCGATATGTTTCGCTCACGAGCCATTTTTCGGCCACTGAGACGTGGGTTTCGACCAAGTCGCTTCTTTACTTTTCGAACCATTGAAATTTGAATTACTAAATTTGAACCAAGAATAAATATTTAATAAAACAAAGGGGGTGAGCTAAATAAAACCGTTTAATAAAAATTGTGTTGAACAGACATTTTTGTGTTTTGTGATCTATACCTTAAAGAAATCTAACTTTATCGCAAAAAAGTATAGCAATAAGTAATTATTAAAGTTTTTTTTATATTTTTTTAAATATTTTCCTTTTTTTATTTTATAATATTGTGATTCGTACATTTTGTAATTTCTTATTTCTTTGTTTATTGCCCCATGTAACGGTACCAAACGTTATTCGGTATTCGCACAATTTATAGGCTATTCAGCAAACTTATTTTTCTACCATTTGCAAGTGAAATGGCATACTTATAGAATTTTTTGTTTTCGTAATTAAAAAA